GTGCCTTCCTCCCGGCATGTTTCTCCCTTTTGCTCTCCATTCGTACCTCCTCGAATTCTGCAGCACTGCTGGTCACAGCTGACCTCCAGCTGGAGCGCTCAAGGGCCAGGGCTTCCCAGTTCTCAGTGTCTATGCCACAGTTTTAAAGGTTGGCTTTGAGCCCATCTTTAAATCTCTTTTCCTGTCCTCCAACATTCCGTTTTCCATTCTTGAGTTGAGAATAGAGCAACTGCTTTGGGAGACGGTGGTCAGGCATCCGAACAACGTGGCTGGTCCAGCGGAGTTGATGGCGGAGGACCATCGCTTCAATGCTGGTGGTCTTTGCTTCTTCCAGCACGCTGACGTTTGTCCGCTTGTCTTCCCAAGAGATTTGCAGGATTTTCCGGAGGCAGCGCTGATGGAATCGTTCCAGGAGTTGCATGTGACATCTGTAGACAGTCCACGTTTTGCAGGCATAGAGCAGGGTTGGGAGGACAATAGTTTTATAGACAAGCACCTTGGTATCCCTACGGATCTTGGTATCCCTACAGATGCCTCTGAAAAATCCTGCAAATCTCTTGGGAAGACAGGTGGACAAATGTCAGCGAGCTGGAAGATGCCAAGACCACCAGGTGGAATCATCTTTCTTTTCTGTCATTAGAAGCCATTTTTCTGTATCCTAGTCTCCAGGGCAGCAGAATACAAGCTTGCTCCCTCCTCCGTAGGACTGCCCTCACATCTTCATCTATGGCCTTCATCCTGTCTCCTCTCAGCCTTCTCTTCTTCAGGCTAAACATGCCCAGCTCTTGACGCCACTTGTTCTGTCACGCGCTGGGCCTGTAGTAATTGTCTTTTGAATAGGACATGCACTTTGTGCCCAGCGGAAAGCCAGGGCACCTCGATAGAGAGGCCCTCAAGGATTTTCCTGTACAATAGTCTTTAGAGCAGTGGTTCTCAACCTTCCTAATGCCGTGACCCCTTAATACAGCACCTCACGGTGTGGTGACCCCCAACCATAAAATTATTATTGTTGCTACTTCCTGATTGTAATTGTGTTACTGTTATGAATCATAATGTAAATATCTGAAATGCAGGATGTATTTTCATTCACTGGACCAAATTTGGCACAAATACCCAACAACAGCGCTCCATGCTGTCCTGTCAGCCACATGACCTTGGAGGTGTCTATGGACAACACCGGCTCTTTGGCCTAGAAATTGAGCACCAACTCCCAGAGTTGGACACGACTGGACTTAATGTCAGGGGAAAACTTTTACCTTACCTTACCCAATATGCCCAAATTTGAACACTGGTGGGGTTGGAGGGAGAATTATGTCATTTGGGAGTTGTAGTTGCTGGGATTTATAGTTCACCTACAATCAAAGAGCATTTTGAACTCCACCAATGATGGAATTGGACCAAACTTGGCACACAGAACTCCCATGACCAATGAAAAATACTGGAAGGGTTTGGTGAGCACTGACCTTGAGTTTTGGAGTTGTAGTTCACCTGCATCCAAAGAGCATTGCAGATTCAAACAATGATGGATCTGGACCAAACTTGGCACGGATACTCAATATGCCCCAATGTGAACACTGGTGGAGTCTGGGGAAAACAGACCATGGCTTTTGGGAGTTACTGGGATGTATAGCTCCCCTGCCATCAGAGCTCGGATGAAGAGCCTCCCCCCCCCCGTGCCCTTCCACACTCAGAAAGGTGCGGGGGGCGGGCAGCCCTCCCTTGTACAAACTGCAAGGGTTGGCAGGGGTGGGGCCAACCAAGGCAGCTTCGTGACTCCCCGAAAATGGCCCAACGACCCCCTGGGGGGTCGCGACCCCCAGGTTGAGAACCGCTGCTTTAGAGGCTTGAAAGATTTAACAAAGTCCTTTATTATTGAACAAATTAAACAAATACTTCTCAGATCTTCAATGAGTCAAACAAATGCTTCAAGGCTTTGAATCAACTGGTGGCTTTCTTATTCTTGTCCACAAGGAACAGGCAACTGGTTTTGTTAACTGTTCCTTCTCTTTAAGGGAAACCCTTATTAAACTCTCCCGGGCAATCTACTATCTATACTTTGCTGATGTGGGTTCTACTACCGGATCCAAACTGCTTCTTGGACACCAAGTAGACCTACCAGTCAAGGCTTGTAAATTCTCCAGCTGGAGTTCTTTGGGTCTGTAAAACTGTTTTCCCCCAGAATTTCTTCAGAAACTTTAGGGTTGTTTCCCTCAGATGCTGTAAAGCTGAAAGGCTGTAAGTTCCTAGTCAGAGCTTTGGGGCCTTTTCCCTTGGAATTTTTGTCTCTGTTTCCCCTGGAATTTCGGTAGGAAATGAAGCTTTTCTGCAGGTGGAGCTGGTCCACGTCCTCTAGCTTAGTTTCCTTCTGTAAGACTGAACTAAAAATGGCTCCCTCTCCTCCCAGGTCCCTGGGGAAAGGGGCGGAACCAAACTTAACAATGATAGACAGGTGGCTAGCCCTATGACTGCAAACCAAGGGAAGTCACCTTTTTTGCAGACTGCCTGAAACCTTGGAATGCATGCAAACATTCAATAGAAAGAAAATGAAGTTGGAGCTCCTGGTACAAATGTACCAGCACACCACTCCTCATAAGGCTTGTTCTCCAGAGCCTTGATCCTTTGAGTCACCCACCTCTAGGTACACTCCAGCTTACTGTCAACATCTCCCTTCAATCGCAGTGATCAGAACTGGACACAGTGGGATTCCAGGGGTGGTCTGACCAAGGCAGAATAGAGCATAGGTAGCATGACTTCCCTGGATCTAGACACTATACATCCTAGTTCAAACACAAGCCAAATTGCGTTGAAATACGGGAAAGGTAGCCATCTCCATACCCCGTTGTGTTGAGTGCCATCACTGAGTGCAACCTGTGCTTTTGTCTTTTCCTTCAGGGTGACATCCAACAACTCCTCCTGGTGTCAGATCATCGGGCGGCCTACGATTATTGCGAGCACTACAGCCCCGATTGTGATACGGCTGTTCCGGATTCGCCGCAATCCCAAGATCCCAGTCCAGATGAATACGTAAGTAGAGAACAGCGCGAGGAGATATTTACTCTCCTTTGCACTTTGGGACCTTGTTTGAGGAATGTGATGAGTTTAAACTTTATGATCAACAACATTTAATTGGTCTCATGCCATAAAATCAGTTCCTCCTCGTCTCTCGCTACTTTCAGTGTTGGTAATATAATGAACTCACTTGCATATTGATGAATTAGCAGCTCCTCGTTTCTTGACAGTTTTATATAGTCAAGCTTCCATATCTGCCCATTATTGGAGGTAAATACGTTTTTGTCGCAATTCTAGTTCTTCCCTGGATAGGGGTTGTGTAGATTCACCTTGCCCAAGACACCACCACACACCAAGGCTGTAGGTTTTGTAGTTTATTGGAAGAAAGCAAAATCAAAACAAGGAAACAAAGAAGTAAAGTTCAATGAGCAAAACAGAGTCTTAAATGGAAAGGCAAAGTTAAAACTTGTCCACCAGCTGCGCCCGTACCTTGGGAAGTCTGATCTGGCCACAGTGGTCCACGCTCTTGTCACATCTCGAATAGACTACTGCAACGCACTCTACGTGGGGTTGCCCTTGAAGACAGTTTGGAAACTTCAACTGGTCCAGCGAGCGGCAGCCAGGCTGCTCACCGGAGCGTCATACAGGGAGCACACCACCCCCCTGCTGTGTCAGCTCCACTGGCTGCAGGTTCAGTTCCGAGCCCAATTCAAGGTGCTGGTTTTGACCTACAAAACCCTGTACAGTTCCGGTCCAGTGTATCTGTCTGAACGTATCTCCCTCTACGTCCCACCATGGAATTTAAGATCATCTGAGGGGGCCCTGCTCTCGACCCCACCACTTTCCCAAGTGAGGCTGGTGGGGACAAGGAGCAGGGCCTTCTCAGTGGTGGCTCCTCACCTGTGGAAATCACTCCTGGCGGATATCAGGGCATCGACATCACTTCTGTCCTTCAGGAGGAAGGTAAAGACGTGGTTGTGGGACCAGGCCTTCGGGCAATCTGCCAACTAAGTAAGGACAACCAGACAAATAGGACTGGCTGGACTGATAATGAATGAAACTCTGAACTATGAGATAGCGAATATTGACCGGCAATAAGGAGTAATTGGTTTGTATCGATTTGTATGAAATTTGTATTGGTTTTATTGGGTATAGATATAATGTATTGTTGTTGTTGCTATTTTGTGTTATTGTGTTTTATTATGGTTGTATGTTACGGGCATCGAATTGTGCCTTGGATATGTAAGCCACCCTGAGCCCCCTTCGGGGTGAGAAGGGCGGGGTAAAAGTAAACCAAATAAATAAAATAAATAAAGTTCTCAGGTTCCAAAGGCAAATAACATGAAGCATAGTCCTTTAGCATTGGTTAAGCAAAAGTCCATGGCAGCAAGACAAAGTCTCTAAAAAATGGGATAAAAATCAATGTCCCAAAGAGCCAGAAGCTTTCCGCAAAAGCCAAGGTAATTCCACAGAAGTTAACAGGGTAAGAGCAACATTGCACTGACAGAGAATGCCCTTCGACCAAATCATTAAATAAGTTTCCCCAACATAAAAGCATTACATTGACCTCTAGCTTCACGTTTGGTGGCAAGGTGTGCGCTTCTTCGAACTCTTAATTGCAACCGGTCCTCTCTAATCAAATCTCCACTACTATCTTCAAGGCCGGTTAGGTCATTATCTTCGCCCAGCCGGACCTCATCACCCTGGGAACCGAGAAGCCCGGCGCTCCCAGAAGGAGCCTCCACCTGCAGCTTCCAAAGTTTCACTAT